GATGGGGCAGGAACAGCTGGTCCTAAGCTGCACAAAAGTGGCTACTCAAAACCCAGCAGATACATCCTGCACTTAGGATGGAACAATCCCATGCACCAGTACAGGCTTATGACCAAGTGGCTAAGCAGCTTTGCAGAAAAGGAGCTGGAGATTACAGTGGACAATAAGCTGAATATGAGTCAACAGTGGTTTGGGGGCTGGGGCACATGACTGATGAGGAGAGGCTGAGGAAATTGGGCTTATTTAGTCTTCAGAAGAAAAGACTGAGGGGGAATTTGATAGCAGCCTTCAACTACCTGAATGGTGATTCCAAAGAAGATGGAGCTAGACTGTTCTTAGTGGTGGCAGATGATAGTACAAGGAGCAATAGTCTCAAGTTGCAGCAAGGGAAGTTTAGGTTAGATATTAAGAAAAACTTTCTCACTAGGAGGGTGGTGAAGCATTGAAAGGGGTTAACTAGAGAGATGGTGTAATTTCCATCCTTGGAGTTTTTTAAGGCCTGGCTTGACAAAACCCTGGCTGGAATTATCTAGTTGGGGATGGTCCTGCTTTGAGTACAGGGTTGGATTAGATGACCTCTTGAGGTCCCTTCCAACCCTAATTTTCTATGATTCTGTGTTACCTCCTTTTCTTCTGCCAAAGTATGTTTCAAACAGCCATTTAAAAAGTGATATGGAGCAGCAAAAAATGAGGTAAGTGGGTTAACCCCATGTGCCATCTTCTTTCAGAGGTACAAACCTGAGAGAATATTTTTTTCTACTAACAATTTGAAAACTTTTTACTGACAGCAAATTTTTTTACTGATATGTGTTACATGATATAAATGCAACCCTTTTGCCAGGCCTGATTTATTGTTAGCTCATTCTCCTTTCCTTGTAAATTGTATATCCCTATGCTTCAAGTACAAGGAGATCCTCCTAGATAATGGAGGATGTAGATAAAATGTGAACATGTATAACTGAGTGGAAATAGTTCACAAATGTTTCTACTTGCTTCCTTTTGGAAACAACTGACTTTTATTAATTGGTTCCCGTAACAGGGAACCCTAGCCCCGTTATCAGAAAGTAGGCTAGTCCCTTTAAGATCAGAACTTTCTGGGCACAGCCTGCTGGCAGGGTAGGGGTTAAAGCTGAGCCTGGCCAGCTAGTCAGGTGACCAGAAAGGGGCAGGCCAGAGCTATAAAAACCCTGGTCTTGGTGGCAGTCAGGGGCAGTGGCCAAAGGGGAGGGAGGTTGTTATGGGAGTTCCATAGAAAGGCTTAGCTGCCAGTCTCCCTGCTGTGAGACGGGAACTCCTGATGCCTCTCAGAAGTGGCATTTGCACCACGGGGAGAAGCATCACAGACAGCGGGGAAGCAGAGGCACCAAGCCACAAAGAAAATGTAAGCTGGCATGCTGTAAGCTGGCATGTTTAATTTCTATTTTTTTTGTGTGTGGTTATAAACCATTGACTTTCTCTGTGTGTGTGTGTGTGTGTGTGTGTGTGTGTGTGTGTGTGTGTGTATATATATATTATTTGTTGATTGACATTGGTGGTTTGTGGACAAGGCTGTAGGGGAGGAGGAGACCTCAATAGCACCTTGCGTGCAGTCATAAAAGGCCAAAGGGGCCTAGTGCACCAGTGTGTGCACTTGTATAGGGCTAGCCTCTCAGAGCTGGGTGCAGGACTTTTAAGCTGGGCCCCAATGGGGGAACCTTGGCTAGTAGCCCGAGTTAAAAGAAAGGGTGTCCTGGGACAGTGGGAGTTCAGGGCCACTGCCCAGTCTTGAACTTGCAGCCTGCTAGCTCCATATCCAGTGAACAGGTCTCTGGGCCAGAGAGCCTGGGCCTCCTATTGAAAGCAAAAGGAGGGCCATGAGGCCCAAGATTAAGGAGCTAGAGCCTTGGAGTTGAACCCTATCTGGTGGGTTTAGACTGGTAGGCCTAGCTAGAGAAAGATGGGGGGACAAGGCCCACGGTGGCTGAGAACCCCAACATAGAATTGCAATAGGCAGTCTCCTGCTTTTAAGAACATCTAAATAATATTTACATCAAGACGTGGCAGATGAGTAAAGGTGGGATATGAGATGAACGAGAGAAATGAAACATTAAGGAACTTCAGAGGTGCCCCCATGGGCAAAAAAAAAGAAAAAAAAATGCTGCTGGGGAGGGCAACCTGTTACAGTTCCCCATAAATGCCCCAGTCTAATAATAATGGTCAGCAAATTAAGGGCTCTGCTGGTTCACAGATTCTTCCCATGATATAGAAGTAAACGTATTTCTGTTCTGCTATCTGTATCTGTCTAATTTTGTTCTTGTCAGAACATGTTATGTGATGTTACTTGGAGAGGTTATACAGCCTAATGTTCTATAGTAAGTAATGCAACATGAGATAGGAGTATGGTTTTCCTGGCTTGTAGTACTAGCATTCTTCCTTGAAGAAAGAATCCAAAGTCCATTAAAGTCCATAGAAAATTTCCCCTTGATTTCAGTAGCTGTTGGACTGGACATCAAATCTTTATTCTGTTCCTGTAAAAAGAAATATGAATGCAAGAAGTGGTATGACTGAATATGAGCCTTTTGCTATGGAAAGGATTGTACTCTGAGTTGAGGAATTTCATGTTCTCATCCAAGATCTCTCAAACACATTTGCTGTGGGTTCTGTTAGCCATCTGCTATTAATTGATTTCTGAAATATTTTACCATATTTTGGATTCAAGTCTATCCTTATGGACAATCCACAGCCTTAGTGTTTGTTATCATAGAGCTTTTGGTACCAATTACGTGATATTTCCAAAATCAACCTGGGACGTATCCAAGTCAAAGACATGATAAGAGAAAAAGTCCAAGTTAAATACAAAACAATGTCCAGAGCTCCAGCCTGTAAGAATGAGAGGACATCTTAAAAGGCACAAAGAAAACCATCTGCTTTCTCACTTGTGGTTAAATACAAGTCCATGCTGAAAACCAATAAAGGCTTTTGCTTCATTTAAGGATATAGGCTGATAAACAAATTATACTAAATCAATCTGTGCATCAGCTACTTTGTGGCATTGTTTCATGTATCTGCTCTATCCTGCATTAAGTGAAAGCTACCCTGCAAGAACTTAGGTCCATTGCATTCAGGGGTAAACTGTTGCAGATCATCTTCAATTTGCAGAATAGTGTGAATACATTAATATTCCTGTGAAGCAGGTGACATGAGTTAAGTCCCCTGCCTTCATCTTGGAACATGTGTAAGTCGTACACTGAATCCCATTTAAGCCCAATTTGGAAGGCCTGCATGTGACTTAACTGGAATCCAGTTCTTTTGCAGATCTAGGGCTTAGGTCAGGGGTGGGCAAAATACAGCCCATGGGCCAGATCCAGCATGCCAACTAATTGGATCTGGCCTTCAGATGGCCAGTGACTCTGGCCAAGGCATGGTGCTGGTAAGGGGGCAGCACTGCTTCTGCCCAGCAGCTTCAGGCATCTGTGGACCTGGGTGCAGCTTCCACCACGGCGGAAAGGTGGAAGCATCAGCTGTGGAGGTAGAACCTGCCAGCAGCATCCGCAGCTAATGCTGCTGCCCTCTCAATGTGGTAGAAGATCCGGCCCAGATCCCCAACCTGGAACCTGCTGGCAGCATCAGCTGTGGACCCAGGCAAGAGCTGCCACTGTGCTGGGTGGGCAGTTGAGGCAGCTGCGGACTAGCAGGTTCCTCATTGGAGCTCTGGAACCTGCTGGCTACACCTGCAGCTAACACTGATGCCTGCCCACTGCAGCAAACTACAGCTCTGGTGGGTGAGGAGAGGAGGATATGGTCCTTGACAGGTCCCCAAAACTCATTAAGTGGCCCTCCAGCCAATATAATTGCCCATCCCTGGTTTAGATGAATCTTTAAAAGATGATTGGCCTGTGTTGGCTTTTTGCAGAAGGATAGCTTTCATCCCAGAACTGCCTGAGTTTTAGAAAGTGTCTTAGAAGAGATCATTAGTTTAGAGCAGGGGTGGGCAAAATGTGGCCCAGGGGCCAGATGCAGCCTGCCAGGCCATTCTATCCGGCCCATGGGGCCCCTAAAAAATTTAGAAAATTAATATTAATTAATATGAATTAATTAACATTAATATTAATTGCCGCCTGTCATGCAGCCCTCGATGGCTTGCTGAAACTCAGTAAGCGGCCTTCTGCCCAAAATAATTGCCCGCCCCTGGTTTGGAGGGAGATGCTTTTGGAAATTGAGAATCAGAAACAACCAAGAGATGAACAGCCACAAAGCACCCATATTACAGTGGACTTTTACTATATAGTGAACAGGTTATAAATGAACAAAAGGGGTTTATTCAATAGTATAACTGGGTGGGGAGGCAAGGCACGAGCCCTGGGCACTGAATTGGAGGGAGTGCCAGAATGGTACCCTTAGATCTCACTAATCTTTGCCATGGCATTCCTGTTCCCTGTTGCTGGAGGAGCCAGATACCCCAGGCAGATAAGGTCACCCTCCTTCCTACTGCTACCTTGCTATTGCCACTGCCTTGCAAGGGAGTCTTGCCCTGGGCACAAAACTCACTAGTTATGCCTCTGGTTTTAGTGGTGCATTATTTTCAGTATGCAAGACAGCAGAAGCTGGATTGAAGAACTACTACATTTAGGGGGACTGTACTGAGTTGCCTGGGATATTGCCACCAGGTCTCAGATTCAGAACTCATTACCATGGCTGAGCCTATTAAACCTGAAAGTCCTTTAATATATAGCTTTGCTTTTATTACTCTTTACTGGTGTAACTTGCTTTAAATTACCAGTACATATGAGTTGCCTATTTTGTTCTCACACTGGCTCCTTATGCTTCCCAAATGATTATCCATTAGCTTTGCATCTTACTTCTAGGCCAGATATAAACACAGGCAATATTTGTTCTGCTTTTTACAACATAGGGAGCACAGGCTGGTCTTCCATGGCACTGATAGGAGTGGAGGTTTTCTCCTGCCAGAACAAAGGTTCTGAAAACTGGATAATATACTGAAAACTGATAATATTACTTACCTTGCTGGTCTGGATCCATTTCAGGAAGGTTTGGGCTTCCTATAAAGAAACAAATGAAAATATAGCACCAGAGCTCCTAGACAAGGACTATAGGAGCCTTTCAAAACGGGCATCTTTGTTTGATTCCCATAATTGATGTATTTGTGAATTGAAATTAAGTGAAAATGACATACAATAAGGTATTACCTTATGAGGAGTCAAGTTCTGTTGCTACTGCAATGCACGGGATTTCCATCAAACAGAGGACAATTAGCCCGATTCTCCTCTTACATCAGTGTGAAAAAGAAGTAACTCTGGAAATCATAACCTCATATTATAGAACAAGGGGAGCCAATCTGCAGCATGGGTGCCACAAGTGGCATGAGCAGCCTTTGCACATGGCACATGATAGACTGGGGAAGGGACAGGCAGCATATTGGCAGATAGGGTAGGGGGCAGAAAGCAGAGCATCAGATCAGGCAGGGAAATATGGAGCAGAAAGCAGAGCTGCAGCATAGTCAGGGAGCAGAAAGCTGAACAGCAGATCAGCTAGGGGGAAGGGATTAGTGGCACTCAGGCAGGATGTGGGGCTAATTTGTGGCATGCCTGCCAGAAAGGTTGGCCCCCATTGTTATAGAAGACTCAAAGCTAAAGGGGAGGATGTGCAGGATGGGCTCTTGCACCATTCGGTTGTCCTGTGTATGTACAGCAATACCAGTCGATAAACAGTAAAGAAACCCAAGAGGAAAAGCACAGCTTTGTTTGCCAGCCTCCAAGGCTTACTGATTGCCCTCACTACAATAAGCAACTCAACTTGTTAGAAATTTCCAGTTGGAACAAGATTTTCCAGCTGAGCTGCTCTTCTTTCTTTTCAGAGAGGCTGGGAAAGTAGGCGAGAAAACACATGCATACACTTACCTTTGTAAAGCACTCCTGAAGGTAGTAGTCCTTCTGTCACTGAGAACACTGGAGACTTCAAACACTGTTCTCAGTTTACATGTCAGGAATGCATTACATTAAATTCTCTTATTAACAGTATAACTGATCTTGTGAGGTTTGTCTTTTTAAATTAATTCATTCATATTTTAATAACACAGGGTATACTGGAACCGTTAAATTACATGAAGCTTCAAGAACAGGGTATGAACACGCCTATATTTGGAGCTGTTTCAAAGGGGAAATGTTTTAAAAGGGCAGCAGCTGTTACATTTTAATTGCTATGTGTTGACAAGCTGGAAGTGATACAAATGCAGCAAAATGGCTCCAACTGTAACATTTTAACACCTTTTGAAATACCTCCAAAGGTACATGTATCCATACCTACAGTATGTACAGCTTAAAGTGAAAAATCTTAAAGTTCATTTGAACAAATACATAACTTAAGTTTTCTAACTCTGACTAGTTATCTGGAACATTAATAATAAATATGGCATTAAAACTGAACTTATCCAACTTCTATTATATTATATTTTCCAGTCATAGTAATTGACAATAGGACAATCAAATAATAAACAAAATAATTTTTGTGCTTCATAACTGGCTTGCATATTCAGTGATCTGTTGTTATTATTTGGTCTGAAATTATTGTTTGATTATAGATGTTTTGATTACCATTTTGCTTGGTAAAAGCTGCAACTCTATCCCAATCTTTTACTAAGATATCAATATTTGAAATATCATAACATGGAATTCTTTAACTTTTTAATTGTTTGGATCTTTTAAGTATATTTTAAAACAATAACTTTATCTCCTTGCAGTTGCAAATCAATGGCATTCCCCTGCTTTACCCATGGCAGGTTGGGTTGCTTGTGACGTTTCGGGCATCATGCCTGGTAGTTGGACAAGAGGGTTGTTCACTCAAATAGGTCAGACAATCACTTGTCTAGAATGGCTTGGATAGGGATGATCCTGGCTTGAGAAGGAGGTTGGACTAGACGATTTCCTGAGGTCCTCTCCAGCCCTACTTTCCTATGATTTTGAAATATAACAATTCTTACAAAACTCCTTCCATGAAAGAAGTATAATTCTCTTATCCTCCTTATCTCAATATTATTTTCTTCCTTACTAAAGTTTATGCTATTGATCCTCCATTGAGATTCCCATGATCCCTTTCTACAAAACGCTAAACGGGTCCTAGGATTGGAATAGTGCTACACACTGCTGTACAATGGAAGAATCACAATGAAATCAGTTGGGGAGCTGCCAGGAAAGCTGAGGGTCCATGCTAGTGGCTCAGAGTGTAAGTGACTAAGGCAGGGGTGGTCAATTTGGGTGGAGAGTCGCTTACTGAGTTTTGGGAAGCCATCGAGGGCCACATGACAGGCAGCCAGGGGCAGATGAATATTAATTTTCTAATTTTTTTTAGGGGCCACATGGGCCAGATAGTGGCCTGGAGGGCCACATCTGACCCACTGGCCACATTTTGCCCACCCCTGGACTAAGGACACCTGTAATGACCCAAAAGCTGCTTCGTTGCTTCTTTCTTGTTATGGGACCTAGCTTTTGTATAAACAAAGCTGTTGTATGAATTACTTCTTTGAGTTCAATGGAGGTTATATAGTGAGCACAAAGGTTACGGCTTGATGCTGCGCAATGATGAGCATTTTGATTCAGCCAACCATATAAGATCATCCTTCAAATTAAATGTTTAAAGTTAAGAGGTGCTTACAGGTTTTATATTGGATTGAAGTAAGTGGTCACTTTCTTATAAGATCACGGCATCAATCTAGTTTCTTTACATCAGCAGTACATTTGCTTTAAACACATAATTAACACACACGTACCTTATTTGTTATATAAAAACTTTTTGCTTTTTAAAGTGAGAAGCCCAACCCCTGATTGTTATGGGACTACTCCAGTGCACTGATCAGGATTTGGCTAATTTAGCACTTCTTCTATATAAAATGGAATCCTAATAAAAAAGTAAAAGTAGTATGTTAACTGCTAACTAACTTATAAATAAATAAAAACAAAAAGGCTAATAACCAAGATGTTTTAAGGGAAAAAAATCTCCGGTCAATCAGCTGACCAAATCTTCCTGTTCTTACTCAGGCTAAACTTTGATATGGAGTACATGACATATGTATCAAAGAGAATACACCAAAGTATACAGTAATATAAGACACTCTTACACTTTGGCTGGAGAAAGAAACAAATTCTTTTGTTTGCCTGATACAATTGCAAATGCAATCTCTCCCTAAATATAGTAACAGTTCTTACCTTGTGACTTCCACAGGTAGGAGAGCAAGGTACTGGTGAACCAATCCGGTAGCTTGACAATAGTTAAAACCTGACTTAAAGAAAAACCTTTAGAGTTCTGTCTTTTAAATGAATGTTGCTCACAGCAGTGCGTGGGATAGGTCCAGCACAAGATATCATGCATTGTCTAAGTAGTTCAAACAGAGAAGCGTAATTAATTAATAATAAATAGTCTGAATAATTAAAGACAAACGCTCCATGATCTTTGTTTCAAAGGGCCACTTTTTTTGCACTTAGAGTGCAATATGTCAAAAGGGGGACACAAACGAGCATCTCCCGGTTGCTAAGCAACGTCATGTTACTATAGAGACAAAAAAGCAAGGGGAAGTCATATTCTCTAATGCAGGAAGCAAAAGGCTCTGCGAAAATCAGCTAATGTGACAGCTCAAACAGGGAAAAGGACAAATTGGTAACCTAACTTTTGGGGCAAAGAATTGTTCCATGGAATCAGATTTTTACACACTTTATTGCACATCCAACTGGTATAACTTATGCCAGTGATTTTTAATCTGGGTGTCTCCAGCACCCTGGGGTGCCTTGAGACCCTTGAATGGTGTGCAGAAAATAAGCATAGACTTGGGCTCTCTCTGCCTGGCCTTTTCCCCACTCCCACTGCCTTTCCCTCTGCAAGGAAGTAAGCACTATAATAAATAAATTAGTTTTTGAGATGGGGTGCTGCTCAATTCACTAAAATTATAGGGGGTGTGTTGAGTCTAGTGAGGCATGCCTTGAGTCTAAAAAGGCTGGAAACCACTGTTTAATGTGCTAACATTGGTAAGATACATTTTTTATTTTAAGGAAATGTCAAAAGTAGGGTTTTCCAGCTATTTTAGCATGTAAGAAGTATATCAGAACTCATAGGCTTTTTGTGAACAAGAATATTATTATATTATGGCAAGCCAGTTACAACCAACTGGAATTTTTTTATAGTGTGATGGGCTAGCTGGCAGTGACCTAGCCCAGGGGTTTTGAAAGGGCAAAAGATGATTGGAGGACTTGGGATTCCCTTTCCTCACCAATCAGGCCCCAGAGATTCAGCCCTCATGTCCCCTGATTGGCCCCTTGGGTCACCTGGAGGGGGATAAAAGGGGCAGCACGGCTGACTCAGGGGAGAGAGACCAGCGAGGGACTATGAGGAAGGAGCTTCAAAGAGCGGGGCGGAAGCAGTTGCCCCAGAAGAGCCTGAAGGAGCAGGACCTGCAGGCAGCACTTGGACCCTCAGCAGCATGGCGTGTGGCCAGCAGGAGAGGCTTCCTGCTGGGCTCCAGGATCCCCTACGAGAGGCTGTGGCCAGCAGAAGGATCCGAGAAGCAACCTGAGGGGTTCCCAGCTCGGCTTCCAGCTCCTCCAATCAGAGACCAGGCAGCTCGACATGAGGCTGGGGCTCCAGGAAGGTCAAGACCCCTAACAGCTTGAAGCAGTACCAGCACTGGTGGTTGTGGCAGTGTTCCTGCCTACCACATGAGTGATCTGAGTTTGAGTCCCAGCTTTGGTGGCTTGGGGTGAGTGAGCTAACAAGGAGAAATTGCTCTTGCAATAGATAGGAGCCATTGTGTTCTCCCCCTCCAGGTACCCAGGCCCTATATTTCTTTGTCTTTTGACATTTTGTATTTTGTGCCTTTTTATATTTCCCCAACCAGTATTGTTTGCTCTGCTGTTTGTGTTTTTATATTTTGTTAACCCTGTCTTTTGCCAATGATTGTAAGTGTCTAACCTTTGTTGAATCCTGCTCCTTGGGGCATTGTGGTGTCCACTATACTCCCTGATTATGCCTGTTATGTT